ATATGCTCACAAATGCTGGCCACTTCCATGCCAATCGGTTATCTACTGCACTAAGTCAGTTCATTGTCAAAACTGATAAAATGGATACTCTTTTTATAATGTGAAAATAGTCAAAGTTCTGGGGCGTAGAACAGGCATAAATAATCACGATCCTGTCTGCTATCTCACCCCACCCCTGCACATTGCTTCAGCACGTTGTTTGCTAGGGTTTCGCTAGCAAAATAGCTGGTTTATACTACAAAATGCACTCTGGTATAGTTCTGTAACCTAGACAGACGGGATCAAGGAGTCAGTGGGCGTGACTGCCTCTGAAGCTTCTTCTCATTGGCTTGGAGACAGGCCTCCTCTCTCGGAGTCCTCTCCTGCACTTTCTCTGGACACACGCCTCCCTAGTAGCTCTTGTGTCTCCGGATTGCCTTTGGTTAAGTGGATATCCATCAGAACGGATCGGGACCCACGCGAACTGCCTCCTTTTGGCTTAGTAGCATCTTTTAATCCCTATCTCCAAATGCAGCCACCTTCAGAAATAACAGGAACTTTAATGTGAATTTGGGGAGTGGGAACAAAATCAACTCACAGGACACATTTTGTTTTACTGATGAAATCTTGCAAATCACATAGCTTCAAAGGCGACCTGTCTTTTCCCTCCACCTGGAACAAAGATCACCCGCAGGTAGCACGTGACTTGGTGGTGAGGAATTGGAGTGCTGCAGTCAAGTACTCAATAGTTGGAGCCAGCAAACAGCTATTGAACTGGTTTTTGAGATTTCATCAGAACCCAGTTCTGGATCGTTATCTTCACCTTTCTCCTCGCAGCACACCTATTGAGAAAAGCTGCCTCTTAGGGGTTTTCTCTTTGTTCTTTTGATGTAGACAGTGACCTCTGAGTGCCGTGTGGCTTTATGGTGGCTGTTGATTGTTCATCCCCTGTGATGTTCTCAGTCAAAGATTTGAGTTGTTCACTTGCATTTCCACCTCCTTCCCTCCCTGTCTCTCCCTGCTTGCTCCTCCCCCCTTCAAGAAAATCAGGGGAAATTGACAAGCAGCAAGACAGGGGAAATTGAGCTATATTATTTCTCCTTTGGGAACCTCTCTTTGCTGCCTTTATCTGAAAGCTATCATTTTCTACATCTCTTGGCAAGAGTTCTCATCGACCAGTGACCCCTAAATGCCTATGCTGATCAATAGCCCCAGTATCTTATTGACATGCGCATTGACAGCTCTTACTGCACACAGGAACTGGGACTGGCAGCCAGCAATCTGTTCAGGCTGCTTGAGAGGCAGGGCAGGCCCACGTTGATATTGACACTGTAAATGGAGATGGTTTACTTAGCACTCAGGGAAGATGCATTTGTTAAGGAGAGCGATAGATCTCATTACTATTTAAGGGCCGAGGCTCTTCTGGCAGCCCACGGGGCTCACTTACATCAAGCCTTTCCACTTACAGAGACTGGCCAAATAAACCCTGAGTGATATGCCTTCTCACCCCTTACGGAGGGAATCGTAGGAGGGAATTGAATGCAAGCAAGGGGTGCACACAGAATTGGAGGAGAGGCCTTGACAGATGAGTGATGTTATTTGGGCCCTTGGTTAGCAGGACCTCAGTTTCCAGCACTGATGAATGCCAGTTTATCTGCCCGAGGTTTGGTTCCTGTGTTCTCCAATGAGCAAGAGCAAAATCAACAATCACAGTATCTCTGGGCAGGGAGAGATCTCAGGATTCATCAACTCCAATATTCTATTCTATGCCTGGATCCCTATCCCAGTGTCCCTGGAAACTGCCTGTCTTGAATTTGTTTAGTTCATGTGACAAAGAACTCACTACATGGTCCGATCAAAAACTACTATGAATGTTTAAATTAAGAATAAATTATACAGTAAAAGATACATTGCCATTGACTCCCCTCAAAATACTCTCAGTCACCCCAAATATACTTATTCCACTGGTCTTGCCCTTTCTGGAAGTCATCTTTTGTGAGTGTCTTTAGTTGTGTTGTTGTGGCTGACTTGATGTCCTGAATTGATTCAAAACATTTACCTATCATGTTCATTTTGATTTTGGAAAGAGTCAGAAGTTGCGTGGTGCCAGATGTGGTGAATTAGGTAGGGAAGGATGCACCTTCATGTTTTTTTCGAAGCCTACCTTTCTTTTGCGTGGCACTCGGCAGCAGCATTCATTATATTTTTGATCATATGTCATAAAAACAGTCATGGAAGAGGACTTCCAGAACTGCTTCAGGAAGTGGTAAGATCCAGATGCAATATGTATGTTACCAATACTCCATGATGAATATGTTTATTAGGCATCACGAACATATGCTAATTAAAAGAAAGTGGCAAGGATGGTGGGATAAATGTGCTCACAGAGAGGGACAGCATTTAAAGAAGGATTATCTTTTACTGTAATAGATAAAAAATTTAAACAATCACTGTGCATTTCAATCATACCTTGTAACACAAGAAATATATTGCCTTTAGTAATGGCAGCACTTGGGAAGGTATGTCTTCTCTAGTGCTGAAATTTATCTACCTATAGCTTCCACTTGTTCCTAGATTGATTTTCTGTAGCCTCCTGCATACACTGAAACACTAGCTTGGCGTTTGGCATTCTTCAGTTGTTATCCTGCGAACAACTCCTGACCAAAGGTATCCTCCTACCCCACCCCTCTCTGGCCTCTCTCCTCTTCCTCTCTCTTGCTGTTCCTCTGCTCTGCTGTCTGGCAACCGTGCACTGAGCATCTTTACTCCATCACACCCTCCACAGTGCTGCTTCTGTAATGGAGCCAGTTGACCATGGACTGAATCCCCTGACAGCCCAAGTAAGCCTCTCCTCGTTGAAGTTGATGTGTTGAATTCTGTGTCTCAGAGATAGGAAAGCTGACTAGTACACCAGACAGTGCCACCATTCCATCCGTGCTCCTTCACAGTGTGCTGGGACCATGGTCTATCCATTTTCCTGTCTGTCATTTCATGGCCACAAGAGAAAGCGGGGACTGCCCGCTGCCCCATCCTGCTTGTGAAGTGTGCCAGGCGGAAGAGTGTACGAGGGTGGTGGGAGCAGCCCATGGGAATGAAAGCCATCTGCACCACTTCACTGAAGACGATGCTCCACACAAAGACAGACCAGAACCATGTCCAGGTCAGTCAAGGTCTCTTCTAAGCCCCGGACTGACTCTTATGTCCCAGGATGGGTTGGGATGTGGTTTGGAAAGTAGGCAAGAAAACTGAAGTGAGGGTCACCCATCGGATTGCGACATGGTACAGGCTGTGCCATCAGGAAGTGGGGCCCAGGAGGACAGTAGAGAGAGTCTAGTCCAGCTGCCTGTTTGACATTGAATGTAGCCATCTCTTTTGGACAACTGTGCCCTTGAGGCCTACAGGAGAGCAGAAAAGCCTTGGATATCAATAATCTCTGCTTAGAAGAGGACCGTGGAAAATCCAGGGGTCTTGAAAGGAGTCACTGACAAGTCTATCTTTGGACATGGAGTAGGAGTGGCCTTTATAAGCCTCACTGGACCAATTGAGAGGCAGAGTGTTGGACCAAAAATAACGAGTAAAAGTGTCAGAGAAGCAGATTTTTGAGGTTAGATTATTCCCAGGTGAAAGCCTCGTAGAAGCTATCGAAGGGGCTCTGGAAGCACCATTTTCAAAGTTAACAAAACTGGGTTTAAGTCCTATTCTCAGTGTGTGGCTGCACTGAGGTATTGCCTTCTGAAGCAATTCTAAATGAAGGGTACAAATGACTTTGCTACATTTTAGAAAGTTGTGAAGGGGCCGGACAAGGGCAAAGCCGCATCATTACCACTGTCCGCCATAAGATTCCAGCCCCTAATTAGATACCTCGCTAACTCGTGTTGCGGCCCTGCAGCCTTGCAAATGGCCATCTGACCAAGCATCGGTACCACTGGGTGATGTCGGCTCCCTTCCCCCTCCATGGGCTTCAAAATGAAGTCCACATTCTCCATGGCCTGCGAGACTCAGCAGTCTGGTTCATACCCTAACATGTACTGTACCTCACATGCGATGATGAAGTCAGCTAGACCGGCTGCATGGCCCTGAACATGCCAAGTACTCCCATACCTTTGTTAATTTCTTCCTGCTATTTTCTCTTCACAATAAGCTCCTCTCTCTCTCTCTTTTTTTTTGCCTATTAAATTCTTAGTCATTAGCTGAGATTTTGCCCTAAAAGCTTTTCTGATTTCTCTCATCATAATAAACTCTGCTTTTGTGCTCCAGCCCTAATGCGTTTAATTCACCCTGTTGAATATTGTGTTAAATGCTTTTGCATCTTTGCTAATTCACTGAAAGTGAAGAATGTAACTCAGTGGTCATTTTATCTCCAGGAGTTCCAACCAAGTGCCTTGTGTTTGATATACATCCATTATTAGGAATCCAGGGGTTGGTTTGGTGCTGGCTGATGGCCAAATGGTATCCTGGAGCTCTGCTTACAGGAGAGAAGGCGAGGGCTGGCAATATCCATACCCCCATCATCCTCATGGATACAACTAGCCTATTTTTCCACCTTCCCTGGTGGTTATAAACTGGCCTCCCCTCTCTCCTCCATATGGGCCAAAGTTTATTTTATTTTTTTCTGCATTATATGGAGAAAGATCCAAGGAACTAGAAATATCAGCTCTAAGCAAAACATGACCCATGGCCATGAGCTTAAAGATGGAAGCCACTTGGCCTCTGCAGGGACTTCTGCCATCTTCCCATGGTTCTGACTAATGCCAGGAATACACACTGACAGGCTGCCATGCAGAGCATTAGATGGTGGCTATAGAAAGCAGCAACCTTCCTTGGCCGGCTGAGTGTGACTGTGTCAGAAGCTGGCAGCTGCAAGCAGGTATGGGTCTGGCTGGGAGCAAGCTGCAGCTAAACTGAGGAGTGTTCATCTGAAGGGCTACACAGCTACTTCCAAACCTTCTCTGTGCACTGCTTTCCACCTTTTGTTGCCTACAAAACATGTTTAACTCTCTCCTAGCAAGCTAGTGACTTACCTCTGGAGGTGCTCACTTTGGTTTTCCAGTGACCACTTCAGGATCCAACCTGAGATTAGGAGTTGATGGAGTCTTTGTTGGCCTGGAGCTATAGCATCTAGGGTTCATTCCTGGGCTCTCTGCACATTGGCTACACGATCTTCTTAATATTTCCTCAGTTACAAAATGGCATCACTCTGAATTTTAAAATGAAAACATGCAAAATTAAGAGTGATAATGGAAGTTAAATAAGCCATTGCTTAGGATAAACCCTCAGGTATTTTCAGTGACTTTATCATTATTATTATTATTACCTTCTAAGAATCAAGACCTCTGGTATGAGCCAACTATATAGAATTGATATTACCTGTAATACAGAAGTATACTTATCTTACTTGTTCCATGTAACAAGCAACTTAGCTTTGGAATAATCTTGTTTTGGGGGAGCCTTATCCACTATTGAGGTGATGTAATTGCAAAACCCCAAAGTCATTTTCACATATGTTTCTGCTGAGGCACAGTTTTTTTTTATCTCTCCAACCAATTCTACATTGAAGAAGTTGATATTTTGGCACTAACTGTAGGCTTTTAGGTTTTTCTCTTTCTTTTTTATTTCATTAGATCTAGTCCCTTGTTTCAGCCCATCAAGATTATTTTTAATATTAGATTTGTCATCTAATTTGCTTATTATCCACATAATCTTTCCATTATTTGAAAATATGATAAGCTTTCCAGCTACAACTTGCTCTAAGGTATTGAAAAAGTGCTAAAAAGAAGAGAGCTGAGATCAGAGTTCCAAAATGCACCTTTAGAAAGCTTTAGATGCTATGAGCTATTGGGTAAAATCATTCTTACCTTTATAAATCCAACTCAGTCTAGGGTTTATTTATTTTTTCATTCATCCATATGTTAGCAGACTTTTTATGTGAGGGCCAGAGAATAAATATCCTAAGTATTGTGGGCCACACAGTATCTGTTGCAACTATTCAGCTGTCATCGTCATGTGAAAGCATCCACAGATAGTATGTAAATGAATGGGGTAGCTGTATTCCAGTGAAATTTAATTTTAAAAAATAAGCTGTGAGCTGTATTTGGGCTGGAGTCTATCCCTGGCCGATGCCTGATGTTAGGTATTCTCTTTACACTTTAGCAGCACTTAAGTGGTCAATAACCATCATCTCTGGTTGAGAGAGCACTTGAGAACAGGCATATGTAAGAGCTAAGATGACTACAACTGTAAGAGGGAACCTCTTACTCAATCTATCCTATCATTTACCCTTTTTTCTGTACAGAAGTTTAACGCTGATGTCATTCAGGAAGGAGGAAGGACTCCAAGACACCCTGAGTCACACTCCTCCTCCTCCTCTAGCAGCTGAACTCCTGGCCTTGAAGGCAAGAACTCCACTTGGCCGTGATGGTTTCCCGGACACAGATGCTTATGAGCAAGGCCCCACCCACACCAGGAGGAAGGTAAGGGCTGTATAGGTGGCAGGCACATCAGTCAGGGATGAAAACTTTGCAGTTAATATTACTTTGCTCCTGAGTTCTACTCTAGAACAGTCTTCTTTATTTTCCCTTGATAGATGAATTCCAGTTATTTCATTACTCATCTGTCAGAGTTTGTATTAGTTGTTTTCCCATCTCTAGGACAAGATACCCTTCAGCTCTATTTGGCTCATGGTTTTAGAGAGTTCAGTCCATGGTTGGCTGGTTCCAAAGCTGACACACACAGCAGAAGGAGGTGGTGAAGGGAGGCTGCTTACTGCATGGCAGCCAGGAAGCAGAGAAAGGGACGGGAAGACAAGAATATCTTTCCAGGTCATATTATTAGTGACTCACCTTTAACCAAGCTCACCTCTTTAACAGCACATTCAGCTCTGAATTCATCCGTGGATCAACCCGTGAAAGTACGATCCAGTCACCTTCCAGAAGCCCTAACTCTGCACACATGGGACTTTTGAGGAACACTTTAGATCTAAACCTTAACGGACTTCTTGTCCATTATGTAAACTATCCCCCCCGCATCGATACTTATACCCAGGACCTAGTGTCTGTCCTTGCTCCCCTGTCTGAAAGTCCACCTCTCTTCAAGGGTGTCCAGTCTATCTCTCCTGTATCTTGCCTAGGAGGGACATAGACAGCTCCTGGACTCTGTGTGGTTCTTTCCACATCACCCAGTCCTCTTCTGCCTGTCTTGCTGCCCCAGTGAAGGTTAGGTTAGCCGGTGGAGGGAGGTGTGTGTGTGTGTGTGTGTGTGTGTGTGTGACTGTTGGGGTGAGAGTGGTGAAATGAAGCAGGCATATGAAAAGGAATAGTGAACTTGTAATGCGTTGTAATTACCAAATGATCCTACCTTCTGTGATGGATCCCGCTGGGATTTATTGCCATTTTAGCAGTGGCTTTTCCATTGCATTACTTAATGAATAATATCTGAGCTAATAACCCACTAAAATCTAGCAAAAACAACATAACTCCCTTCTCTGTAATTATTATTTTTTCCTAATGTGGTGGTTTTTATATAAATACTGATTATCTTTTTACTAGGTTCCTGTGTAACTACTTGCTTAAAAAATGGGCCCTATTAAACTGCCATCAGTCGTAGCATGCCATATGCTGGGGTTTCACTGGTATCTTTCCACTGTTAGGACGCCGGTTTTCAGGCTGTCTCGGGGCCCTGCAGGAGGTGCCACCTCCCTCCTTCCCTCCTTCCCTCCTTCCCTCCTGGCTTCCCCGTCCTGCCTGCCCATTCCCTTGCTGTCCCTGTCTCGCCCCTACCTGGAATTGATGGCATTTGGAGAAGCAGGAAGAAGCCTCAGCTGTGCAAACACAGCACTGCTGTTTATTTTGGTAGCCTCCGAAATATTTGTTGAGAGTTATTCGAGCAGAAAGGCTGAATGGAGATCATTGCAATGTGTCAAATTAAGGAGTGCTTAATGCCTGCCTAATCTCTTGGTAATTACTGTTGTGGCAGCGGAAGGCTTCAGAGCCTGGTAAGAAAGCTAATGATAGTGAGAGACAGGAGGCTGCCCGGGCATCCGTGGCATCGCTGCTCAGCACAATTAGAGGCCCCACTTCCATCAGAGAGAGGCAGCGGCTGTCACTGGAGACAGAGAGGACCGGCCCTTGGAGGGAGGGGTCGGACAGGAGCGTCAGCCCGGGTCACTGGACTGGGACTCCTTCAGCTGAGTGTCACTTTCCTAACGGCCCTCTCAACGTGACGGCTTCGGGTGTGTGGGAAGGCGTCGGCCTCAGAGTGTTGGGGGCGGGGCAGGGGAGCGGAGAGCTCACTTCCCGATCTCCCTGTCCTTGTCTTCCTTGGCGTCATCTCATCTGTCTTCCTGCCCTGAGCCTCTGTTTTAACTTCCCGAATCTCTGCTTCTTCTGTGTATCTCCCACTCAGTGTTGCTCATGCTCTTTGTGTGCCTTTTTCAGCTCCTCTCCTCTGCCTCTCTCCGTCTTTTATCCTTTTTGTGTTTGGCAGATCAATGTAATAGGCCACTACCACAATCAATCATGTATTTCTATAGAAGCAAAAAAAAGAAACTGGCGAAGAAAGTAAGGCAGAAGAACATGAAGCCCTTAACAACACTCCAAACTCTGTTTAAAGATAGAGACAAATGGGATTTAAATGGAGCCCAACAAGCAAATTCAGAAACAAGTTGAAACCGGGAACCCGGCTCAAGGTTCATTTGTGGCATCAGTGATCCTGTGGTCCTCCCTGGGGCGTCAGCCAGTGGGAGTGGCAGTGCCAGCTCTGCCACCCAAAGTCCTAGGGTTTTGGAGATGTCACTTTGCTCGTTGGTAAAACGAGGAAATGCTTGTCTGGTGGGGCTGGCGTGCAAGGCAAAGGCGATGTCTGAGAGAGCTCTGAAAAGAGCAAAACGCTACAGGTCTGGGTTTACTCTGATGCTATGTGAGAACTTACTTTGCAGGACTGACATTTCTTTGGATGTCCAAGTCTTTATTGCTGTTATGGGTGTGGTCTATTTAAAAAAATCCCAGAATAGGGAAAACCTGTGAAGATAGTGGCTCAGTGGCTGTCTAGCGTGAGTGGGGAGGGGTGGGGAGATCATCACTGATAAGTAGGGTTCTTTGATTCTGGATAATTAAAATGACCTAAGTTTTATTGTGGTTAGAGTTGTGCAACTCTGTCAATGTGGTAAAATTTATTGTTTTTTTTTTTTTTTTTTTTTTTT